CGAAAACGAGCTGCCAAGCTCAAACACAACACTCAATCTCGATTCGAAATATTTGTTATTCGTTCAGCAGATGAAGTGCAGAGTGATAATTTGAACCGGTTTCATCCGATTACCTCTTTACGTTGAAAGCCACCAATTGCAAAGTTGCTTATGCTCCATGTTAATAATAACTGTTACTGTGAGGAAGCTCGCCAGATTTACCTCAGCCTTCGATTTGAAACTGTGGAGCTTTCATAGCGGTCAGTGGGAGAAACCTCCCTTCGCCAGTTAGGAACCGACGCTACCTTGTGCCAGCTAATAATGAGTCATGCTAATGGTGATTAAAAAGAAAATAGGCAAAATAGAAAGAATCAATATAATTACCATGGGCAAATCAGAGGACGCCATAAACCACGCAACAACTTGTGATAGAAATTACGCTACGTACCGTTTAATATGAAACCTGGTTACCTGGTTTAATCTATGAATAATTATCTGGTTTAGCGTATACTGTGAAAGACAGGTTTTCCCATATAAATATTACCGCCATTGTGACAGTGGGAAGTAATGGCGTCCGGTGATGATGTCATAAAAATTTGTAACTTCATCAGCGCGTGATCAGTGGCGTTGTAAATGAAGTATCAATCCACAGAGAAGCGGCTACAAATGTGTGCGAACCTAATTCAGATTTCAAACGACAGAGCTTTACAATAACGGTTAACCTCGAAAGCCTGTTCGAATGTGATTACAGGGAAGTTGCTATGGTCAACAAATTATTACATCCAGAGATGTCTTGCAAAACAAACTTATAGACGGTTCATCAGATGCCTTGTTACGCCGTAGACGCCGTACGTAGAAGGCAACTAAAACGCTTGAAGTACTCGCTACAGAAGATACATCATAGCATTGAAGAGTAGGTATTAATGCTAAAAACGAAGTAGTGAAAGAAAGTCGACGAGGAAGACATCATGTACTTTTTGGATCAATGCCATTTCCATTAGAAAACATTATAAATTGCTAATATGCCAGAGTATGTCACATAACGAATGACTCATTCAAGACCAGACCGCGTTGTATTCTACCGCCCCTTGCTCATAGTTACCTATGTGGGGAGGCATTTAAGCAGGTCACAGCTCCATGATGCTTGGAACCGTCTCAGAGTACACCAGATGCATCCCTCATCAATTTGTCCGCTACAGGCACCTCGCGCTCATCACGACGTGTCAAGAGCTGCTAAGGGCTAAACCACGGCTGATGGCAGCTGTAGCAACTATAAATCAGACATTCGTGCGTATTGAAATTCGGTAGCCATACAGAAAAAGAGAAAGAGTCATCAACTACACAGCTGATCGTCCATACCATTGGACCGTTGGAGTTATCCATTCCACGGGTGGAAGATGAATCCCAGTAGGCATTGCCACCCAGTGGCGCAAACTAAGCCATCCGTCATATAATATTACTTCTGAATCCCCGTTCCGAAACTCCGATGGCTGAATAATTTCTTTGCGGACTGCCATCCCAAGTCATTAGCTGATTCAGTAATCTGGTCGTTTCCAATTCATGTCGCTAGTCACCTACAGCCATGAGATGAAGTAATAAACATGGCCTGATTTATCAAATTTTATGTCCTTCTTGGCGAACACAATGGCGTGTGCAAAACGTCGACAAACATGAAATTTCTTAGTCCTCTCTGTGGATCAGAAGATCTGATTTGGACGTTACTTTCTTCAGCATCGGCCCTGAATTACATATGAATTTCAGAAGATATTTGTTTCTTGCATGTAAGAAAATTGAGATTCGAGTCATTTAGCGTCGAAACGCCAATTCATAGCTAATCTAGTCCTCACAGACCTACCTCACCTTCGTGAACGCAAGGCATAATTGATAAATGTTCGTACATGTAGCTCACTTCGCTAGTAATCGTTTCTGCGCACCTGTTGGCCACTGAGCATACGTCCATTTAATCCGTCGTGAGATTAGCATGAAAAGCTGATTTGGAAGGGATCATGGAAATGAAGAACATAACTTTAAACTTGGAGTGATCCTTGTCAGAACAGTTGTTCCTACTTGTAGGCAATGTTGCTTGCTTTGCGTTGATTACTGTTGTAACTGATGACAGGGCAGAGGATCAGAAACCTGCTCAATAACCCACGATTCAGACAGAACGGGGTCAATCCTGACCGGTATCTAAATGCCCATGTGACCAATGGTCGCCAAGTCGGTAAAGAGCGATTATTCATCGTGGAATTTTCGCGTCGCATTCAGCTTGGTCTTTTGTGGAAAGCAAACCTAGCGAAATCCGTAGTTATGTTCATTACAGTATCGCTGTGAAATGAGGCTTGCATGTTGAAAGGGAAGCTAAGCAACAAGTCGACTTACAAGTAGAAGCGAGTCTCCTTGCGCCTGAGGTTTTTCTGATATTTGTGCATTATCTAAACTAAATCACTTCTTCGACCTTGCATTGGGTAGCGGTTCCTTCCTACCCGCCTAGTTGCCTAGGCAATGATTCAATCAGGCCTTCGGTGAATGGTATTTTAGCGCTGACAGCTCCAGTTTAGATACACCGTTGCAGGTCCCAAGACCAGAAAAGAATGAACGATGGTTGGAGGAGCGTGGCGAAATCTCTTTCAAAACTTAGACACCTGTCCTTCGTGGTATTACTGTTATAGAAGTACATATCGTTTCGCCTCCGACGATGTTCTCTGAGATACTAAGGTCAGCGCAGGGAACTGAGGCGAACAGCGAAAAATTGGTGAACACAACCTGCTGCACGCCTTCTGGCGAAGCTGCGGCTACCGAAGATCGACAAAGAAACCAGTGTGCAACGAAGCTGCTATCCATTCTGAAAGGAGGATGAGGACATCGCAATATCACTATGCCACGTCAGGTAAGTTTCCACGGAAACGATGCTGAGAGGAATTCCGGAAATTGAAATATCTCCTCTCTGAGACGGAAAGAGCTACAACTAGTATACAAGGCCACAAGGTAGGTACTGACTGGACATGATTTGGATTCTCGTCAACGAAGCTCCAAAGCACTGGAATTTTGAACACTCTACCTGCGCAAGCCATTCTTCTCAGGTGTCAGCTTCACGACGTATGTTCAGGCCAGAGTCAATGTTCTGTTTAGAACTCAACCCAGCTGGCAGAATCACTGAATAAAAGCCTGTCAGCAGAAAAGTGACAATCGTCCGACGAAAGTCACAGCTTGCAAAAACTCTGAACCTGTTATAGGTCTACACGTGTAATTTGGAGGGAAAATAGT